TACATTTTCTTTTTATTTTCAAATTCTATTTATATCTTATTATATATGTATTTTTACAGTTAAAAAGGAATTGTAAAAAAATAAAAATTTTCTTTTATGTATTGAGTATAATTTTTAAAATAGGATATATACAGATTTAGAAATAACAAAAAAATTTTTTAGTTTTTTTCTTTTTTTCTAAAAGTACCTCATATATTTTTTAAAAATAATTTTATTATATAAAAATATAACAATCTTATAAATTAAGTTTAAATTTAAGGATCAAAATAAAAACACTTATATACTATTAAAAAGATAAACAAAATCTGAATTTGATATCTTAAAATTTAAATGAATTTACTTTTTTTATATCAGTTTTTTTATAAAAACAAAAATAACAATAATAATAATATTAACAAAAAGAATCTTAACTACTTTTATAATTAGTACTCAAAATCAGTTGAATCAATCTGGATTGTTCGATTTTATTTGAATTTTTTCTCAAATTAGATTTAACATTTTTATTTTATAAGTTCTAATTCGATAAAATCTGTTAAATTAGAATTACTTTTTTTAATTTAAGTAACTTAAGTGACTCAAATGATTAGAAATATAATTTTTTATAATATAAATTATGCATTAAATTAATTTTTATTATGCAACTTGAATTTGTAAACAAATAATAATATAATGAGTGAAATTATAGATATTATTGATATAAATATTACTGAAAATTCTAAAAAATGAAAGGTATTGCTAAAGTGAACTTTTTGTTAAAAAACTTTTGAAGAAAAAATTCTTTCATTAAAATATAAACTTTTAAATACTTATCATAAAATTCATTATCTTAATTACTTATATATATTTTTTTACATTCTTTTAAAAAGAAAATATAATATATTATATAAGCTTTTATATCTTTTTATTTAAAAATATTTTAAAAATCATAAAATATAACTTTGCAAAATTGGTAATTTAAATATAACAAATCTTAACATCATTTAGAATATCATCATTCTTATAAAAATCCAAAAAATATAAAGTACTTAATAAATGAAAAACAAAGCACATTATATGAATTTTTGAATGTAAAGAGAACATTAATTATGTTTTAATGAATTTAATGAAATTTTATTATTATATTTAATGAATATTTTTAATAAATTTTTAAAATCACAGATCCTTTTATCATCTGAAAATTAGGTGAGATGCTCTTTTGACAACTAAGTAAAACAATTGATATTGTGATAGCTTTTAAAGGATAGTTTTCTTGTGAAGGTTAAAGATTTTAAATTTATATATGCAGTAGATTACTTTGTAATTATAGAAAAATGACTGTAAATGTATTAATAATTATGTAATTACTCTTTTTTTCATTTATAATTTTACAGAGACTGAAGCAATAAGAGTAGAAATACATGAGCATATAAAAAGGAGAAAAAATATGCAACTCAGTGCAAAGCCTAAAAAGCTAAAAATAGGTATTTAACAGAATTTAATGAAATTTTATTATATTTAAATGAATATTATTTAATAAATATTATATATTTTAGAATCTGCTGTTATCTAAAAGATGAATAATGCTTCAAAATAACTATCAGTATTATAGTGATCTTCTTGAAAAATAATTTTCTTACAAAGGCCAAAGGTTCTAAATTTAGATGCTTAATAAATTGCTTCATAATCACAAAAAAAATAACTGTGAATATTCTTGATTTTTGATAATGTTGATGCAATTACTCATTTTTTATTTATAATTATCATAGAGGCTAAGGTAATAAGAGGATCAATATATGCGAATATATAAATGCAAAAGATTTGTGAGGTAGTGTAAAATCTAGAAGAAAAAAATAGGTATTTAATGGAATTTAATAAAAATTAATTATATCTAAATAAATATTATTTAATAAATATCTAAATATTTTAGGGTCTGCTATAATTTGAAAAATGATTAAAGTATTGTCAAATAAGCTTTGATTAATGATCAGCATATGGTAAGATTACTTAAAGATACATTTATCAAAGAGTGATAAAAGTGGTCAAAGAATCAGGAATAATTCTAACTAATAGTAATCATTTATATAATAACCTATCAGTAGTCGCTGATCAATTTAAAAAAAAGAGATATATTATATATTTTTGTATTTTTATTTTTATTTTTATCATTTTGATGTACTATTTAATTTCCAAATTTTTCTCTAATAGATTTTAATACAAATCTGCTTTATCTTCTATAATATTTTTTATAATTGATAACTTTTCTTTATATTTATGTGACTGATATTTTACATATAGTAGATTGCTTATTGAATATATTATTTATTCATTTTTTCTTTTTAAGATTTATTTCTACGATATTTTATTTTTTTTTATATACATTTAATAATTTAATTTTGAAGTCTTATATGTATGTTATATGTTTTACTATATAATATTTCTTGTCAATTTTTATTTCTTTATCTTGTTTTAAATATATTTCTCCTAATAAATAATTAACATTGAGAATTTCTGGTGAATGATCTTAATACTGTAAATGTAAATGTTTTCATTATTTATTGAAAACTACTGTCTTACTTATAGAATTGTGTATTTCTGATCAACTTTTAATTTTGAATTGAAATCTTTCATTATTATTATTATAAAGATCAAGATTTTTATAAGTAAATTTTATTATTTTTTTTATTATATTAAATATTTCTTTATGTATATATTGAAATCATGTAAAATTATATATTGAGTTCATTTGTGTAATATAAGATTTATTATTTTACACAAATACGAGAAATATGCTTACCTATCAATTACTTTTTTTCATAAAATTTTTCAGAATTTGATCCTGTACTTATTAAATCATATATAATATTTAATACGAGAGCTGTATTATTTAATTCATTCTATTTTCTAATTTACATATACAATTTATAGTTCTTTCAATTTACATATCAATTTGATGAGTGATTTCTAGCTTATAAACAAGTTTTGATTTTTAGAAAATCTTCTTCTCAATAATATTATTATGATTAAATATAATTCTAGCTGAAATCTTCATAATTTTACTTTAAAATCATTTTAATAATTATAGTTAATCCCTTTGATGATTATTTGCTAGGCTGTCACAGTGCCAATATATCAAGATATCAGGTTATTATAATATCAGTTTGTTAAGGTATTAGTATGATAAATAGTTAAAATTTCAGGCTGGCATAATTATAATTTTTTTATATATATCAAGCTAGAAATCCTAAATCAGCTTAATATTTCATGCTAACCTTTATTATATTTCTTTAAAAATATTTCCTTTATAATCCTTCTTTTATACCTTCATAATAATTTTGATTTTTACTTTTTTAATTTTCTAATTTTGCATTTGTAATACTGTTTATTATTTTATTTTTAATTTCTAACTTTATTAGTATTTTATTATTAAATTTTTATGTAACAGTTTTGTAATTGCATAAATTTAATTAATTAAAATTTAGTATTTAACATTTATAGAGTTTAAAATATTGATATAGCAAAAGTGTAGAGTACTAATATTAAGGTATTACTGATTAATTTGATATCATTATATAAATACTTATCACAATTATTTCATTTTTATTCAATAATTATTCATTAAAAACCTTCTGCTTATATTACAAATTGTTTATAAATATATAAACAAAAGAACTGAATACAATAATATAACTATATATTTTGATTTTTAATTCAATTCAAGAAAATGTACCAGTAAAAATCCCAAATAATCATATTATTTGTATTTTGTCTAAAGTAAAAATAAGTTTAATAATAAATCTCATTTATTCTTAAGAAAGTTCTTATAAAGCCTTAAATATTCATCAGAAGATCCTTATCGTCTTAGACAAAAAGAATGTGTTTCTAATTATGAAAATTCTAGCAGATTGAACTGTAATAGACGAATCTAGAAAGATTTTGAAAGAAAACATTTTAATACAAGTAATTGTAAAGACTTTGTAATTAATCTCTAGATATTCTAATATCTTGCAATTGTAAATCTAGTGAAGATTTAGCCATTATTAGTACCTATTATAAAATTTTATTACCTGCTAAGAGGCAATTACTCGCTTCTTTCTACTACTTTAATAGTCATTAATCATATTTGTATTTTCTATAGAAAAGTAAATGAGTTGATATCAATTATCTCTAAGGTACTTTTTTCAGATTAGGACCCTCATATTCAACATTCTAATTAGCATAATAATATGATATAGCAGAAAATCTTGGATAAAAATGTTGCTACTTATTTTATTATAACAATATTTAGTTTAAAATATATTATATTATTTACTCTAATTAAGCATGATTTGTAAGACAGAAAATTTTCATTTAAATTACAATTATTAATTATAATTTATCTAAAGTATAATAATATTATTATTTCAGAAGTCTCATAAATTTGTAATGAAATCAAGAGTATTGTTCAAAATTAAGATAAGTTTATGTTCTATTTATCATTTTAATATATAGTTGATTGCTATAAAAATTAGGTTCTGAAAATCTTTTAACAAAGTTAATTCTTTTATTGCATTTTAGTTTTTGATGTTTTTAGATTAAAATACATTAAGCTCTTAATTTGATTAAAAATTTCTCATTACCTAATTTTTTTAGAAATCCTTTCATATGATAAATTAAATTTTACTTCATCTTCATACTTAAATAATTATTAATTAATTTATATCTTTTAGATTATACAAAAGACAGTATGCAGTGATCATTTTTCACTGTGCGGCTTGTGCACGCCACACAGTTTTATAAATTTATGCACATCTTTCCAAAAAAAGTGTGAGCCACTCCGCACAGAAAAAATTTTATAATGCTGCACATTGCGCACAGTTGCGCACAATTCCGCACAATTCTGCACAGTTACACACAGTTATACAAAGTTATACAAATGTAAATTGACCCCATAAAATGTTTCATAACATGATCTGATAATATATAATTAACTAATTAAGAAGTTCATTCAACAAAATTTTATATTTAAAATCAAATTTTTCACAATGAAAAGATTTTTTTCAACTCAGCAAGCTCAAAAAGGCAAGCAAAAACAGTCTGAATCTCATGGTGAAGCTTCATCTAGTGAAAGACCAGATTCAACAAAACCATCTGGAGTAAAACGTCACAAAACTAGAAATAGCCTGATCTAAAATGGATGGATAACGGAAATAATGTATGGTTAGAATATAGAGATGTATATGGAGTAGTATTGATGTTTTGTAGATGGTGCGAAGTGAAAAAATACACAAATGAGTTTGCAAAAGGAACAAGTAATTACCAAAAACAAAGTATTGATCGACATCTTGCTCATCATGAACATAAAGCAGAAGCAGAGGCAAAAAAATCCAATCAAAATAATTTAGTAGTTACATTTTCACGTCAATTAGATGCAAATAAAATTAAAGTTATAACGCAAATGCAGTGTATTTACT